AAAACACAAAGAAGAGGAAGAAAGAAAACATAAAGAAGAGGAAGATAAAAAGAAGGCTAAAGAAGCAGCAGTTGCTAAAGCCAAATCAGTAAATGGGTATTGTGAAAGTTTGATGAAAGAGAATAAACAATTTAAATGCATAAGATGTAAAGGAAAAACCAAAGAAGAGGCTATTTGTTTAGTTAGTAAAGAGGCAGTTGTTGTAATAACCCAAGAAAGAGAGCAATGGGAAATCAAGGACCAAGTCATGTTAGATGATATAACACAAATTGTTAAAGTCATTAAAATTAAAGGACAAATCCGAATTAAATATGGAGGGGGAGAAAAAGAAAAACATATTTCACTTAATCTTGGAGATCTTGTAGATGATTTTATCAAAGAAGTCAACTCTAAGGCAAACTAAAAGGTTGAAATTTATTTTTTTTATGAATTTGTTTAAACAAACAAAAAGATACGAAGAATTTATTTGAGTTGTAATGTTTCTTTCTTCTTTTAAAAATGATATTTATAAAAAAGACGTTTTATTTGCATTCATTTTTTAAATAACTCAACAAAAATTTATTTAAATAATTCTTGTTGTAAATTTGTTAAAACAATTTAAAGAAGAAATACATTCAATATTTAAAGAAACAGAAAAATTGAATAATTTGATTGAACCAAGGAATAAGCTAAATGTATCTTCATTAGGTTGTACTAAATTAATAATGTTTTTAGTTGGTTTAATTTAGAGACAAATAAGCCATAAGTCATGACTGTTAGTCTAATTTGTTGTTGAGATAAACCTTGAATTGTTAAATAAAGGAATAAAAAATAAGTGATATTAAAGATAAAACTAGGAGTGAATGAGTTGTTAAATTCTTAAATTATTGACCTTTTTTTTGATAATCAAAGACAGCCTAGAGTAAATAAAATCAAAAAGCTAAAACAGAAAATATATTAACCTCCTATCTAATAACTCAATAAATTTATTATATTATAGGTCAAATACAATTAATCTAATGTTCTCTCTAATATCATTGGTGACCCTGGACGAGAAGGTGAACGAGAATAGCAAATTGGTAATAATGTTGGAGAACTTGAAGAAGATCGTGGAGTCACACGAAAAATAGGCAAACGAACATTTAATGTTTTTTGTTCCTTATCTTCTTGAATTGAATTTATCCTTTTGTGAGTAATAACTGAAGGTTTATGTTGAGGAGTGTTCATTTAGAAACAAACGAGTAATAAGAAGAAGATGACAAATCTTTTTATTTTTAAATAATTAAAATAGTTATAAAAAGAATTATTATGTCATGTTTATTATTTTTGTCAGCTTTTTACATTCGATTCGTAATAAAAAACATTTCACCAAAATTAGAATTCTTTTTTTATTTTTCAAATTTTTTTTAATATTTTAGAAAATATAAAATTCAAGCACGTTAGAAATAAACTCAATTGAAGGAATAGAGCATATTGAAGAAACTGAAATAATCATTTCTCAATATGAAGAAAATCCAATTGGGATATATCTATTAATTGATCTTTTTTTATTTTAGAAAAAAGAAAAAATAAAAAAAGAAAAAATAAATTGTTTTAAAAAAGAAAAGATAATGACTGAAGAAGAGCTAAATACTTACTTTAAGACAGTTATGCCGTTAGTTAAAACAAGTGGAAGAATGATTAGAGACGCTTACTGTAAAATGCAGGTAACTATTGCTGGAAGTGATGATCATTTATTCACTACAGCTAACCCAAGTGTTCCAATGAATGAAAAATATGAAGAAATAAAGAGTTTTACAAGTAAGTCATGTTCAATAGATTGGGTTACAGAAACGGATAAAGGAGTTGAGCAATATTTAATATCATCATTACGTTCAGCTTTCCCAACCCATAGATTTGTAGGAGAAGAAACTGACGATACTCACAAAGAACTAACTGATGATCCTACATGGATTATTGACCCAGTTGATGGAACAACTAATTTTGTTCATGGAATTCCAATGTGTTGTACATCAGTAGCATTGTCTATTAACAAAGAAGTAGTTATTGGAATTGTGTATAACCCAATTCAAGAAGAATTATTTAGTGCAGTTAAAGGAAGAGGAGCATTTATGAATGGGAAACAAATTCATGTTAGTCATACAACAGAAATTAATCAAGCAATTATTGGAACAAACCCAGGTTATCGTCGTGAACGTGAAGCAATAGACGTTATGTTATTTAATTTAAATGAGATAATGACTAGAGGTGTTGCTGGAATAAAGATGCTAGGAAATGCTGCAATGGATTGTTGTTATGTTGCTTGTGGAAGAACAGACTGTTTTTATGAGAAATATTTATGTGTTTGGGATTATGCTGCTGCCTCATTAATTGTAAAAGAGGCTGGTGGAATTACAAGAACTATAAACGACATTAATCCCTTGCTATTGAATAAAAAGTTATTAATTATTGGTAACCCATCAATAGCAAATCAATTATTTGATATATTAAAACAATAAATTGATTTGTTTTTGGTTCTTCTTTGTTATTTTTTATTTAGAACTTATATACATTAATTATTAATTCTTCATTCAATTATTGATTTAATTAATGACGCACTTAACCCACTCTCTTGTAATTCATTTATATTAAATTCTTCTTGAATCTTTTTCCCAATCTCTTTAACTTTCTCAGTTTCTCCAGAAGTATTTTGAACTATTTTAAGTCCAATAAGTTTCATGGTAATAATATAATTCTTCATTTCTTTACTCCAACTTTTTTCAATAGTTTTAATAATAAACTCAGCTTGAGTTGGACTGATAACACTTGAATTTGTTATTTGTTGAAGAATTAAAATCATTTTAAATCCTTCAAAAACAACATCAACAAAGCCAATTGTTTTAACAATATCATTTTGAGAAGTAATTTGATGATTAAGTTTATTAATTACAAGACAATTTGAGATTATTTTTCTGATAATTTCTTGATAATTCTCTTTCCACATTTCATAGTTTCGTTTGATAGTATCATTTATTACTTTCATTATGTAATATGCAATTTCAATCTCATTGTCTTTCATTTTCTCATTTATTTCAAGATAATTCATAACTCTTTCTTTTCTACTCCATAAATACCATCTCATTTCTTTTTGACTTTTTAAAACTACTAATAATTCTTCGTCACTTAATTCATGAGAAGTATAGTCTTCCCTCACTTTAAATCTCATTCTAAAAGTACCTTGAGTAATTTTTTGAATCACGTTTATCATTGCTACTACTGTTTCAATATTAGAAAATTTTTCCAGTTTATTATAAACTTCTGGTGTAAATAAGGTTGAATATGTAATAGTAATATTCTTATTCATTTCTGAGGATATTATTAATTCAAGAATAGAAGCAGCTAATTCTCTTGGGGAATAGTCAATCATTTCAAGAGCCTTTGAAACAAAAAGGTCTACATTTCCAGTTCCACCATTTTCAATCCACTGATGTATTAACAAAACAACTATCTCTCCCATTTTTTCATTTACTGCTTGGAGAGCTTGATTCATAAGAACTTGACTATCCCCACGAACCCCATATTTCTTAACTAAAGACGTAATTTTTTTCTGGTCATAGCAATGATCCACAACAGGTAATATTCCACCATTTTGAAAATAGTATTCAATAATACTTTCTTCACGTTCTTCAATAGGTTCTTGAAGAATAGATTTTAACATTGGAATAAAACAACTTAAGTTGACCTGTAACTTACATTTTATTAAAACTATTACAAAGTCTCTTATTTCTTTATGCTCTCCAAATTTACTAATTAATTCTTCAACTTGTTGTTGAGTTAATAGACCAGAGTCATCATAAACTGGGTTAGATTCAACTAAATAACTAACTGGTTTAATCATTTCTACTGACTCAATAGGAAGAATATTTTTCTTAAGAGGGCCAATGAGAAATGGAGGACATTTTTGATCAAAAGTAATGTATTTAAGTATTCTAATCAAGGGTTTGGGATTATTATAATAATAATTAGGATGTGAAAAGACAAATGTTGCAATTGGTGTTGTTAATTCAACAGGGCTAAATTTAAAATATTCTACAGCATTAAACAAAATGTCAAGATCTTCTGCACAACAAATTTCTTGTTTAAAAAGTAATAAAAAGTCTTGTTGCATGACTGAGATAATAGGGAGCAAAGGTTTTTTATCAAATGACTGTACAGAATCAATATAAATCTTCAATAAAAGAAGATATTGTGATTTAAATCGGTAAAAAGGTAAGAGCATTTGAGTTGACTTATTTTGTGAACAAGAAAGACCAAGAGAAACAAGACTAGAATATCCAAACTTTAGCCCTGAAAGTGCATTAATACTTGCAATACAAAGATCAAGAATTCCTTGTGAAAGACCTTTTCTGAATAATAATAAACAATGAGTGTCATCGATTAAAGGTTTATGAGATAATTTAGAATATTTACCACAAAACCGAAGCAATGCAATGACACCATTAATATCACTACTTTCAATTAAACGGTTTAATTCAAGTTGGATAGTACAAGGGTTTTCTTTGAACATCATAAATGAAATGAATTTGTATGAATTTGGAAATAAGAACTTTCTTGCTGCATTATATCTAACTGAAGGCATAACTTGTGGTTGATACGATAAAGCAGAAAAGAGGGTTTGTAATGGCTCACAGTTAGTTGACTTTTCAATTAAAGAATTCATTGAATCATTAGTTATACATTCTGCAACAAGAGAAAGAAGTTCAGGTAAACAATAGTCACAAGTGATAAATATAATTGTGTTAAGTAATGACTCCAATAACAACGATTTTAAAGTTATTTTATCTAGGGTAGGAATAATTTGTTCTAAAGAAGAAGAAGCTGATAATATTCTATGATACTCAGCTATAATTAATGGAACTGTTTCTTTAAAATGTGATGTTGCTGGTAATGAAGTGATATGAAGTGAGTGTGGTGAAATTGTAAGAACTTGATTTGGTCTTTCTGTTCCAACGTATTGTGCTCCTGATAAAATCATTAATAATTCACATAAAATAACTGTTTGTGGTAGCATTTCTCCATTATCATTATTATATAATAGTTGAACTAATTCATTGTAAGGAGGTTCTTCTTTTGGTAATTTTGGTATTGCTTTTCTAATAACTTCATATAACTGACTTTCAATTGATGCCATTGTTTAAATTTTAAAGTTTTTTTTTGATTTTCTATTAATGGTATTTATAGTTATATAAAACACTTATATTTATTTTAGACATTTGTTTTTTAAATAAATTTAGGAATATTATGAAAAGATAAGGTATCTTAATAAATAAACTCATTTTTAAAATCTTTTTAGTTTATAAAAAGATTGTTGGTGATATTTAACTGTTTAAGATATTTGTTTAATCAATTCATTGAATATCAAATAGATACAATAATTAATTTAAT